AAGATTCTATGGCGGTTTTGTCGTCACCACATGCTCATCCTCGATGGACGATGGTATGGTTTTCCGCAATGAAGGTCGACAAACATCTCGATGAAGGCGGCGGCGACTGCATGCTCCACCTTGAGCTGCACCTCCAACACGAGGTGCTCCGCTTCCATGGCGAGGTGGAACTGCTCCTTCGCTTCCTCCATTGAGAGCATAGCTGGCCAAACGGGCCGGCCCGGCACGGCCCGGCCCGGCACGGCTCATCTTAATCATGCCTGCACGGCCCGGCCTGCCATGGCACGATTATTAGTCGGCCGTGTCGTGCCGGCCCGCGTTCTGCCCCCTCTGGCCCAAGCACGGCCCAGGAGCCAAACGGGCCGGCCTGATGGCACGCCAGACACGCTGGCCCACTAGCCTGATGGCCTGCTAAGTTGTTTCTTGGGCTGATTTTGGCCTGATGGGCTGTTTTTTATGTGTTATATATATAAAAAAATCTGGATAAAAAATAAAAAGGGATAAACGAGTTGTGTCGTGCCGGCCCGCGTGCCCAGCCTTCAGGCCCAGGCATGGCCCAAGGCGGGCCGCGTGCCGGGCCTGGCCCATCACGTGCCGTGCCAGCGTGCTTGCGGGTCGGCATGCCAAGCCCGGCCCATCTGGCCAGCTATGATCGAGAGGTGGGGGATGCCTGCCGTCCACGCCGACGGTGGTGTTCGCATGTCCAACCCGGAGGCGATGGGGTCAACCGGCGGGGATTGCCTCCTCTAAATGTGGGGCTTCCCCCTCCTCATCCTTGCTAAGGTTGAAGGAAGGTTGGCCGACTAGACCTAGCCTCCACGACGCACACCTTAGCCGTGATCTAGACATGGTGCTTTGGTGTCAATTGTTTGTGCCATGTAACCTTTCAGCGTACCATGGCGGATGGCGAGCTTGGACGCGGACGGGACAGGGATACGAAAACAATGTGAACTAGAGGAAAAAGTGAAAAATGTGAGGGCGGCAACTTGTCGTCTGGTTTAAATTGCCAGTGTTTGACCGTGGCACGAAGCCATGAGTGCAGGCAGCACATTGGTGAGCTCCACGGAGTTTTCTCATGGGTCCTAGTGGTTTGTTAGACGTGACGGACGCGTCCGAACAGCCTTGAATTTGCCCTGCACATGAGTTGCTGGAGGGTGCCGGGCAGCCCCAACATTTCGGTTAGGCATGGGGGAAGCGAAAATCCGGTTGGAGATGCTATTACTAGATCCCATGGCCAACGTGCAGACAAAAAACCAAGTGAACAATGCAAAGCAAGCTACCACCACGACAGACAAAACCAGTACAGATGAATGTATACTCTGTTAGCAGATAAGGCTGTTTAAACCGTACATGTAATCTCAACCAATCTTTATCTTCCTTCCGTATCCTAGCGCATCAGATGTCGTAGAGATCAAGCTGAACGTACGCATCCTGTATACTTACTATAGAACGTTTAAGTAGCTGTCAACGTGTATTTGCTGTTTGCCGAGGATGTGCTCAACCAAAACGCACAATCCAAAAGAAAAAAATTGACAACTCGCAGTTGCCACCGTGCCCTTGCAATTTCATCGAATCAACGGTGAGTGGTGCATTCCTAATAGCAACGAGACTTGATAACCCTAGCAGCTTCCAGCAGCAACTCAAGATCTGCAGGGGGTACTGGGCTTCCCGACTCAACACCATGCGAGTGGATAATCCTAGCTGCATCAATGAGAATCTTTTGCTCAACACATAGCAGTTCTTCATTTCTCTGAAACATGTAAAATATTCTGTCAGAGATTTATGCTACTATGCCAGGTTACAAAATACTAAACCACTGGTTATGCCCTTTGGTGATCCATTAACATGATGGACAATTGTTCAACTAATGCAGATTATTTAGACAACTACTCCCTCCATGCTTGAAAAGAAGGCACAAACATTTTGTGAGGAATCGAACGGTGCAAAATTTGCCCAAGTTTATAGGAAAAACAACAAGTTTGGTCAAATTTCGCACCGTTTGACTTTAAACAAAATGCATACGCCCTCTTTTTAAGCATGGAGGAAGTACTACATAACTAGGGAGTACTCAAGCTTGACAGACTCAACAGATCATGGCGTCAGGGGATGTTGTTCAACTGAGCGTAGCTCTAGACATCAACAGTTTACAGGGATGCTGTCATGTGAATTAAGTTGTAAAGTATGAACAACAAATGTATGATCAACAATAATCCAAAGAGATACTCTTGTCAGACATTTGTTGGACACAAAGTTTAAAGTGTTAAACCAGAATGATCGACAATAAACTTTAAAATGAGAACATTTTGTTAATTCTCAACAAAATGTGTATACTTTTTGTATGATCATAATAGTCCAAAGTTTAAAGTGTGGACACAGGAGTATATTGCATCCTCAATCATACTTTTTCTTCTCATACTGACTACAGAACTGTGTCCAAAAGACCAATGTTGCTACGTTGTCAACATATAACATTTATATAGTTCTTGCTATGAGAGTTAAACCATCAGTCTTTCACCTTGCCTTGAAAACACATAGTTAAAGCTACTGTTGGCATACCATAGAGCCACAGGTGCATTACCAAAATCCAAAGCACATGATAGCTACGAATTACAAAATGCTTCACTGAGATCCGAAACGCACCATGTTCTGGAGGCAGCAGCCAATTGTGAACTCACCATACAAATCGCCCAATCTCGTGAGATAACAATAAGGAGCGTCTGCTTTCAAGCTAACTTCTGGATATGCCCTTAACTTCTCCATGATCTCTTCAGATATTGCATGAACCTTATCCATACTCTGAACTTTTATGGGGATTTTTGTAACAGATAATACCCATTGAGCACGGGATCTATTCACAATAATCTGCAAATTATTGAAGGACTATAGCACATTATGTAGGCTCCATGGTACTAAATCTTGTCCAAGAAAAAAATTACATATAAAAAATGCATTCAAGAAATCTTCACAGCACTATCCTTGAAAGATAGACTGATCGATTTCTTTCTAGGATGCTGTGAATAACAATAAACTAAAAGACCCCAACCAATATTTCCCTCATCTTTCAGACTTCCTAACCAAGTTTACAGGATTTCCCAAAGATTTCTATGCTTTCCAGCATCCCAACTGATCTGAGGCTAGAAGTCTTCATTTTAGACAAAACCTAATAGTCAAATTTCTCTAAGAAAATTAGCAAGCTCTACCAGTGAGAAATACAGAATTGACCAAGTTGTGAATCTGATGTGTGAGCCATTATTAGTATAGCTGATCATATAAAGTGTGCTTGAAGTTGGCACATTATCCTACTTTCACATTCTCTAGATATTGCGAATGTTGTTCATGGTGTATCTTGTAACTGCTGCATCTGTTTTTAACACCAAACAGTGGACTCTTGCATATAGACAGGTTCTAGGTTCAAACGCATAGGACATACATCTAAAAGTGCAAAGTCGTTCAAGGTTTCATCATTAACCCATGTACCAAATATTACCATGTAGAGAAAAAGGCCAGCATATCTTGACGAGTGGTATCATACCATCCAATAAAGTATACATTACATATGGCACCATGAAATTATAGACCATAATTAGTGCAATTTAGGCAATATCCAGTTATGAAAGGCATGGCGATACCTGACCAACTAATAGTGAGTTGGGTACTGAAACAGGAAGCCTCTCCAAATTTATCAATGATGTAGACGTCAGCCCTATCTCAATCACCAAACCCTCTATTGACCCGGCCTACAATGAAACTTTTACTTAGGGAAGTCTGCAACAAGTTATAGTCCCTCTGTACCGAAATATATGTCATTTTGGTAGCATAAACTAGCCTACCAAAACGACATATATTTCGGTATAGAGGGAGTAGAACAAAAAAATGCTTATCCATAAAAATGACAAATATAATAAAATGTTAGCAAACATTTGTTATTTTATCAACATACATGAAAGGTAGAAACTAGCAAATATAAGTGTGGAGAAAGATGACATACATGAAAAGGCAACTTTATGGACTCTCCAACTGAGAATGGCCTCGAAAGCTGCAAGTAGAATCCACTCAATACATTGCCCAGGACATCTTTAGCAGCAAAGGCAGTTGCAATACCTAAGTAACAGTAGAGAGCCATTTATTTGCTAGAAGGAGGGACCTAAAGTAACATCACATATTGAGTAGGTGTATGGCATTTAGAGTGTTACCTCCAATACCACTAACAGCTAATAACGACTCAAATGGTACCCCACATGCCTCTGCAACTCCAAGAAGGCCAATAGCAATCAATCCCAATGAAGAAACCTTGTCAAAAGCCCCCAACCAATGCTTGTCAACCTTTAGACCTTCAAAATGCATAAGTGCGCTGGATAGAAAGTTCTTTTTCATAACTTGAAGGAACCACACAGCTGCGACAATTGTTACGCCTTTTGAAACTTGTGACAAATGCACACCAGCACCAAAATCAGGAATCATAGTAGCAGCCCTGTGAAAGAGAATTAGTAGAGTTTTATCATCAGCATAGAATCATAGGGTGCTCACATTAATCTAGTTGAACATCTACCTCAAGGAATAGCCCCTTTCTGATAACTCAGCCATAATGGACCACATGATATATTTTCTTCCTGGACCATCTAAACTCTAGACTTCCAAATTTAGTCCAAATTAAGCACATGGGGAAACTAGCTTAAGATAGCCATGTTTGACATCGATCACATGATAACATGTGGTTTAAAATAATGATACTCTACTTTTGAAATAAAGCTGGAAGTTGAATTCCTAAGAGAATAGGGGGAGGCAAACAAGCAGATGACCCCAAAGTTGCATACTAGTTTCTACATGACCAAGCAATATGAAACATTTGTTCCCAACTCCCCGTAGTAAATGGTTAATACAAAGAAAGCGTAATAAAAATCAAGATGCATGTGTGCTGCCACTAAGTATGGTTAGCATCGAAAGCCGCCAAAACGCTGAAAAATAGCAATCACATACATTGCGCCCCATATGGTGAAAATGAGCTTTTACATAAAAAAAGAGCCACGTATGTGATAGGCATTGTTTATCGCTGGTTCGCTTGTGTGAATAAGCTAGATGGCATTGTTTTACATTGTTTTTGACTTGTATTTCTATCATGCCACACCCAAAGATCAGATACTTACATCTTGCATTATCAACTAATAAAGACTAACCCTAACCAAGAAAAAGAAGTAAAGTCGCATAACAGGTTAAACAGAAACTCACATATCTAAAGATGCCCAAAGGACTACGCCAAATAGCGGGTAGGCCAAAATGTAGCCCTCCACCTTTTCCATCAGATGCAAACACCAAGCTTCATAAACCGTGTAAGTCCCAGCTGCATATTTCTTCTCGAGCTTCAAATGGAATTTAGGCAGACTGTAACGTGCAATCAGGTATGATATAGAGACCACACTGAAGTAATGTGGGACATCTGGATATACCTGAACCAGGTCAGAATCAGATAGCTGATTTGATATCGCGATGGTAGCATCTGACGTACTGTTCCAAGCATTGTCGAACATATTAGTCCAAGTGTATGAAGATGTATTTGTGGCAGGAAGGTTATGCTGAGGTGGAGGAAGGTCAGGCTGCGGTGGAGGAATGCTAGGAGCCTTAGATGAGTATGTGTGGCGGATGGTGAAAACAGCAGGCAGATTGGTGTGACGGTCTGTTTCCTTGATCTTCCATGGCGCTGCCATAGTTTCCATAGCAGCTGTTACAGATGGTAGATGGCGCAATCTTGCTGCTCTGAACATCAGGCGTTGCATCAACATGGTCTGCAATAAAAAATCCATTACATAAATTCATATCAGAATTTTTGGTATATAAGAAAAAGGGGAATCAACATTCATTCATGGATTTTGTTAATTCAAATTTGCCACTCAGTAATGTGCAAAATAGATCAAGATATTACAGTAACTAACCATGCACTTATAATCGCCTTCAAAACAATAGATCCCACATGACACAAGACATAAGCAACATATACTAAAATCTGGTATATGTACAGAAGTCGTGATGCACAATTTCATCTATACTGTAACCCGGTTACCTATTGGTGGCAACAGTGGTGGTGGCACTAAATAATGCTGAGTAGGTAATTTAAGTTCTTAGGGACACATGCAAATTCTCTCTACTACTCCATAACACAGACAGAAGTTCTGACCAATGCATCAACGAATATGTGTATAGAACTATTTCTACATTCCATAACATTTACTCCTAATTAACTATTGCAGAGGGCAGGAGTTAAGAAATCAACAACCTAAGGATCAAAATTTATGGAGCAGCTAAATGACAACATCCAACTTGCTTAAGATAGGTAATAGTTTGTTCACATGTCAAGTTTTACTCTCATATCTCAACAGTGAAGGTAGTAAATATATTCAAATTCACATACAACAAGCCAACATCGTAATATTGTTTCGCATTTTGGATCAGAAGTAACATTACATTGCAGAACAGAGCATACACTATAATATTCAGAGCACCAAACAGTGCAGACAAAAGCAGATATAATATATGATCACGCTGTACAAAAATATCGCACTATACTCTTTAGACCAAACATTTGCAGCTGCAGCAGAACAGGTTTTGTACTATTAACTCAAACGGCCACACACACACATCACCAATGGAATAATTCAAAGGCGGATAATCACACCTGTACTACTACTAATATATCCTACCTACCACTTGTCCCACGAGAGGCGAATCCTGAGCGCAATTCAGTGCACTAGTGACTCCAAAAACCAACTGTAAAATCGGAAACAAAACCATCTAAAAATCTCGCGACCAATCGCGTCCACAGGCGCGCACTAAAACGCAGCCTTCAAGCAAATCCGATGCAGCGAGAATGCGAGATGGAGCGCTCAGTTACCTCCACGCCAGCATCAGGAGGTGATCTCGTGAAGCAAGCCTACTGACGAACGAAGGAGGGGTTAGGGGTTAGGGTTTTGGAGGGAAACTTACGGCGGCCGGTGACGTCGTAGTTCAGCTTGCGCTCGCCCTCCGCTCGCCTCGCCTGGCCTTGCGGTCTCCCTCCCCTCGCCCCGCCTGGCCTTGCGCTCGCCCTCCCCCGCCCCGCCTGGCCTTGCGCTCGCCCTCCCCTCGCCTGGCCTGGCTCTGCGCTCGCCTCGCCTGGCCTCGCGCTCGCCGTCGCCGTCGCCTCCGCCTCGCGGCCGGTGTCGTAGTTCACCCTCGCGGCCTCGGCCTCCCCTCGCGTGAGAGCGTGCCCGCCCCGCCGCGAGGTTGGGATTGGGACTTGTAACCGTTGAGGTCCGTCACATTCCGGAGACTGGGGAAGAAATGCGAACGGAAGAGCGCGCCGTCGCTGAAGGAGTGCGCGGCCGGTGACGGAACCTGTGTGAGTGTGTGGGTTGAGTTAATTATACGGGGGGTCCACCTGTAAGTGTGTTGTTTGGGTGTAAGATCAAGTCCAATTCATGTGCCCAGCAAGCAATGCGTCCAGGTGCAATTGGCTCATTAGGAGATTTTCCCGAAACCCTAAAACCCTCTGGCGGCGCTGGCGGCGATTAGGGTTTTGACCGTGGAACTCGTCCTCGCCCGAAGACTAGTCGACGGTGGTGAGTTCTTGTCCGTTGCATGATGGTTGCTCCCGACGCTGATGCGAGCGGGGGGATGGGGGGTGCGGCCCAGGAGGCGCGCGCGGCACGGAAGAAGCTGGAGGAAGCCCTAGGAAAACTCGATATCTCAGAAGAAGAGGCTACTCCCTTGGTTATCGATGATCGCGTCGATGGAGCTCCGGCAAGATGGTTGGTGGCGGGCAAGATTCTCCACCGCAACATGTTCCATGTACAAACCATCACCAACGCAATGACGCCGGCCGGGGGGAACCCAAGGGGACTGAAGTTCAGATCGCTGGGCTTTAACACTTTTGTGGCTGAATTTGAAACCCAACGTGATCGGGATCGCGTGTGGGGCGGATCGCCATGGCATATCAATAAGCATGCTGTGGTACTCGCTGATTTTGAGGAACATATGAGACCGGATGAGATCAAGTTCGACAAGCTCCAAGTCTGGGCTAGGGTTGTGAACCTTCCCTACAATCTACGAGATGATTCGTGGTGGGCGCCGATTGCAAAGCAGATGGATAAACACGCCCAGTCAATTAGTTTTGATCACGCTGGGGGTTTCCTGCGAGCTCGAATTACCATCGACGTCGCAAAGCCTTTTGAGGAGGTGGATCCTTATTGATTCTGCCAGGAGGAAGCAAGTTGATATGTACGATATACAATACGAGCAAATCCCATACTTTTGCTTCTCATGTGGCAGGTTGGGACACTCGGACCCGTACTGCCCAATACCGGGATCGCGAGATGAGAAGGGCGAGCTCCCTTTTGGATCTAAGCTGCGGGCACCAGAGGACTATCGCAAGCAGGGGTCGTCTGAAAACTCTTCCAGAGACCATACTGGAGCCAACAGCAAGCAGGAGACAAGGAATTCTAGCAACAAGAAAGATAAGGGGGAGGAGGTGAATTCCCCTGTTAAGAACAGGCAGCAACAGAAGCGAAAGGATGCGCCTAATCAAGTCTACAAGCCGGTGGCCAAAACCACACTGCTGCTCACCGATGGAGGTGCAGATCCGGGTGTTGATGGTAATACTATGGCTGGTACTGATGCAATATCAACAAGCCGTGAAGAGGGAGAGGATTTTGTTAGGGAGATAAAGAAGAAGAAACCTACACCTGAAAATTCGGCAGAGACCGCGCCGCGGTCCTGCCAGCCCCAATGAGTTGCATCAGCTGGAACTGCCGGGGGCTTGGGAACCCCGAGGCAGTTCGAGAACTTCGCAGCATTGTGAAGTTGGAAGGGCCCGCTCTTCTTTTTGTCATGGAAACAAAAATTAGAGCTAAAAGAGTAGAAGACTTACAGAACGGTTTGGGTTTTGCTGGATGTTTTGCTGTAGACAGTGCAGGTCTTAGCGGCGGCATTGGTCTGTTTTGGTCCCGTGATGTGTCAGTTGAACTAAAGAACTACAGTCAACGACACATTGATGTGATGGTTACTTACAAACTACTGAACTCTCCACCTTGGAGGTTCACGGGGTTTTATGGTGCACCGCAAGCGGAGGAGCGACATCATAGCTGGAGGTTCCTACGTTCGCTGCATTCTATTCCTCATGATGCATGGCTATGCATGAGGGATTTTAACGAGACTTTATACTCTTCCGAACATTTTAGCCGGGATGCTCGTCCGGAGCGACAAATGCGAGCTTTCAGAGAGGTGATTGATGATATCTCCCTCCAGGATCTAGGTTGGTCAGGTACAACATACACATGGGATAATAGGCAGCCTGGAGTGGACAATGTAAAAGCAAGGCTGGACCGAGCTCTTGCTAACGAAAATTTTCGACAACAGTTCTAATATATTAGGGTTCGGCATATGTCCTCAGTGGAGTCCGATCACTGTTTTGTGGTTGCAGAAATAAAAGAAAAGCTCGAGGCGCGATCGAGGGCCAAGAAACAGTTTAGGTACGAAAATATCTGGCAAACTCATTCGGACTACGATCGACTCGTTTGTGATACTTGGTGAGGAATCCAACGTGGCCCAGGGCTACAAGGTATTGTCTCAGCACTAGGTGATTTGCAAGCAACTCTGGAACCTTGGGGATCCAAAGAGTTTGGGTGTCTGACAAGACGGGTCAGACAACTCCAAAAGAAACCTGATCGGCTTCGTTCCTTGACCATTGATCGTGGCCCATCAGAGGAGGAACAAAGCACGGTTAAAAAGTTAAAGGAGGCTCTGCACTTGGAAGAAGTGTGGTACCGCCAGCGATCACGTGTGCGCTGGCTAAGGGAGGGAGACCGAAACACAAGTTATTTTCAGGCCCAAGCCAGGCAGCGCCCAGAGGATGAACAGAATTCAAGGACTTAGATGATCTGATGGAATGGTATGTATGGACGAGAACGAGGACAAGGAGGAAGTGCAACAGTTCTATAAAAACTTGTACCAGTCCGAAGGGTTCCACGATCCAGGCGAGTTACTAGCTCATGTCCCAGCAAAAATATCAGAAGCTATGAACTCGGAGCTCACTAAACCCTACCCCGCGGAGGAGGTCAAAACTGCGCTGTTCCAGATGGCTCCTTCGAAAGCTCCTGGTGTAGATGGGTTCACGGCGGGGTTTTATCAGCGGCATTGGGGTCTTCTCGAGGGAGACATCACTAATGCAGTTCTGGAGCTTTTAAATGGTGGGGAGTTAGCGTCGGGTCTGAATGACACTTCCATTACTATAATCCCAAAGGTAAAACATCCCCAGTCCATTTCTCAGTACCGTCCAATTGCATTATGTCCTGATTTGTAAAAGATTGCGAGCAAAGAAATTACAAACCGTCTGAGATGCTTAATGGATGAGGTTATCAGTGAGGAACAAAGCGCCTTTGTACCGGGGCGCCTGATTACTGATAATGTGCTTGTGGCATACGAGAGCGTACACACAATGCGGAGGAGGAAAAAAGGGAACAATTTTTATTGCGTGGTAAAGCTAGATATGATGAAAGCTTATGACCGGGTCGAGTGGCGCTATCTCGAAGCAATTCTGTCCAAGTTGGGGTTCAGCATTGTCTTCATCAGGTTGATCATGAAATGTGTATCTTCAGTCCATTTTTCGGTTCGAGTTAATGGCAAACTTTTGCCGTTCTTTACCCCTTCGAGAGGTCTTCGTCAAGGTGACCCAGCG